TTTCCTCGGCCTTGGGTATAGAAATTTTTCTTTGAAATAGTGTACCTGATCATTTTCAATCCCTAAGAAGCTAGTACCAAAAATAAGTTTTGAAGTTGGGAAAATACAGATGTTCGTCCATGTGATTCTTCCTTTTTAATTCGTTTTATGCATTTCAAGGTTCATTTGCTTACTCTTAACTCGAATATGGGTATAATATACGACTTAGTTACCTCTAAATGATAATGCTTCCAATCCCAATATTGATGCTTAAATTGTTTTATTAATAATCAAATTTAGAATAAAAACCAGCTATTTTAAAATTGAAAGGTGTTATTTGGCAGTTTGAGTAGAATTCCAATTAAGAAACGTTTAATTTTAAATTACGTGGTAAAAAAACGAGTGACTGGGGAAATTAGTCATTATTTTTGATGATAATTTAATAGGAAGTGAAGCGCCACTCTTTAAACAAAATCGTTATCTTAAAATTGTAATTCTTGTCACCTATGTCTTAGATCACCTGCAGTTAGGAGGGGCTTACCTCTTAAAAATTTTAATAATTTTGTTGAACTGTCTGCATGAATGTTTAAGTGATTTTTCCTGAAGGAAATAAAAAAATGAAAATGCTAATTAAGTCATCAAAATATAGGAAAGCATTTAGTTCCCAGAATGCTGCGATTGAAATCATTCGATTGTAGGCTTAAGAATAGAACTCATATTCGCTCATATTGTCGATGAATATAAAATCCCCTAATTGGATTAAAATGGTGAGAAATTTATAATTTTCATGGCAATTTTTCGTAGATAATGTTACTTTCAAGCAATTCGAATAACCTAATTAGTAGTCAGCTCAATTTAAAGTTAATATATATTAAAGCAAGAAAAACATTTTTCTCAGATGAAACAGCTGAAATCTGTTAACTAAACATGCAATAAATGGTGGAGGTATCGAATTAAAGAGAAATCTATTAGAGTCCCACTTCATCTATTTTTTTGGGGGGCGGTTGGTTACCGAATCACTGCGTTCAGCAAAATATCCACTGATTTCTAGCAGCATCCAAGTTACAATTGACCCTTCTGATAAAAACCATGCTCTTCTAATTTTAGAGTCTTAATTCAACAAACCTGAACTGGCAAAAGAATTAAAGTTGACGGAGCCTTTAAGATGTATTTGCTTCAAATGAATAGTAATGCACATATTTTATTACATTCGCACAGTTGACGGCACTCTTCATCAATTCACGAGCCGAGTGATCCACCGCATACAGTTCAATAGACTTACCTCCACGTGGTGCACCCTGGACAACGTATATTCATACGGCAAAAAGTCTATTAACCGTCAGTTGACTTCTGACTTCTAACTACCATCACCCCACTGTATGTCATATTTCACCACCTCCACAGTACTCACCTTACCTTTTTCTACTTTTGTGTCTCTCTCTTTTACATCTTTGAAACACTTCCATTCAACCCCCCCCCCTACTCGACTTTTTTCATTTTGATGTACCTTCCCCTCTGTGAAGCCTGAAGTCAACTAAAGGGATAATAATAACTATCAAAACGCCTGCCATTTGCTATAAATAAATATTTTATTAAATGGTTTTCAAAATTATATTTTAATTTTAGCATATTAGTACTCCATTTTGCATGTATGTGAGAGAAACTACAAGAATTGGTCCGAACTTGGTAAATTCGTATCATATAATCTAAAGAATTATGCAAGCCAAACAAGCATAGCACGTATGATTGTGGTAGGAGAGTAAAATGCTGGAAATGTTTGAGATAAAGTTCTCCTAGTCAGTGTCTCCATTTTGCCTTAAGGAAAGTCAGGTCAT